CCTCCTCCTCCTCCTCCTCCTCCTCCTCCCCCGTTTCGTCTTGTCCGCTGCTTTCCTCCTCCCTCACAGCTGCACCTCCCAATCACAGTTGTCCTCCTCATCCCTGCTCCTCTTTTACATCCTTCTCCCCCCGTTCCCCCATCCCGCCCCACGGATCTGGGGGGCGGGGGGACGGGGCAAGGGGCGCGGCTCCCCGCAGGCGGCCCCTGGCGGCCTGACTTTTTCCCGCGGCAGCTTGAACTCCTGAACGCCGTGGGGGGCGCACGACGAAAACGTGAAGGGAAGCGGAGAGCGGAAGAGAGGAGAAAAGAAAGGACGGCGGAAGAACGATGGAGGGGGGGATTCTGAAAACGAGGGTTGGGTAAGCGGATGCTTTTGTCCTAAGCAGACGTGACTACGGGCAATACGCGTCCAACACGGGCACGGAGACTGGCCAGCCCATCCCGGACCGAAACGGCAGCGAGAATAGGGATAAAATTGAACAGGGAAAAAATGAGGAGCACGAGGTAAGATACCATTCGAATCTAGTGTTCAAACGACTCTGCCTGTGCCCGGCGGTCACCGCACGCAAACCGTGCAGCAATCAACGCGGCCTCATCAACAGTTGCAACAAGATAGGTGAGCTTGGTTTAGGCACGCCGCAAACATGCCAGACATCGCGCCGCCCCGGGGCACTTGGCCCCCAATGTGCCCACCGCAAAGAGATGTTACGACACACGAGGCGAAACGGCAGCTACTGCTGGCAGCGCTCTAAGGCAAACCGCAGCAGGCGAACGCATCCCGCGGCAGCACAAATAGGAGGGAGGCCGACCAAGGAGCTTCTACGAACCAGGCCCCTCATAAAAATGCCAAGGGAACGAGGAGAGCGGACAGTTGGAAGAGCCCAGAAAAGACACTTAACGTGCTGCACGCTAGAAAGTCCGCTGCTCCACGAACACAGTTCATGGTAACAGCCCCTCGCTTCCATGACTCACTAAGTCGCACTCTCGAACCTGATTCGCCTTTATGCGGGCGTTCTCTCACATGTTCTGCTAGGTACCTTCGCGAACATAGTTTACGACATGCGGCTGTCTTTGACTCTCCTCACGTCGCATTATGGAACGAAGTTCGCGACACACGAGCGCCGACGTTCTGTCTTGCAGTCGAAATCCGCCGGCCCTGTCGGCGTGTGCGAGGGGCTTGGCTGTTCGAGTCGTCGTCTCCGTCGGTCGTCGCCTCCGTCGTCCCCTTTCCCTGCAGCATCCTTCTCAAGCTCGTGAGCGAGAGAATCATCTAGCAGTGTCGTAATCGAGTCGAAGGGCAGCCCCTTCCCTTTGATTCCTTCCCCAGGGGGGGGGGGTCCTGGGGGGGGGCCCGGGGTGGGGGGGGGGGGGGGGGGGCAGATTCGTTTTTCCTCGGGCGGCCTAGAAACCTCGAAAACACTCCAAATGAGGTCCGAATGCCCAAGATGGCCCCCGAGACGGCCCAAGAGGGCCCCGAGTCGCCCAAAGATCGGCCGAAAACGCCCAAGATAGCCCCAAGACCGTCCAAGAAGCCTCCGAGACGTCCCAAGCCCCCTTCCAAGAGACCCCTGGGAAGCCCAAGAGGCCCCCACGAGGCTTCCAAGCGGCCCCTAAGAGCTTCCCAAGAGGCCCACAAACTACCCCCAAGAGGCCCCCAAGAGCGCGTCGTCGTCGTCGTCGTCGTCGTCGTCGTCGTCGTCGTCGTCGTCGTCGTCGTCGTCGTCGTCGTCGTCGTCGTCGTCGTCGTCGTCGTCGTCGTCGTCGTCGTCGTCGTCGTCGTCGTCGTCGTCGTCGTCGTCGTCGTCGTCGTCGTCGTCGTCGTCGTCGTCGTCGTCGTCGTCGTCGTCGTCGTCGTCGTCGTCGTCGTCGTCGTCGTCGTCGTCGACGCCATTCAGGGTCGGCGGCACCGGCCGTAAGGCCTTCGCAATACATGCAGCGAAGACTCTGGCTGTTCATCCCGTCGGCGACACGTTCCCCCCATCCGTCCTGAAGTCGCTGCGGCGCGAGCTGGGCAATATTTTCGCGCCTCTCGTCGCTCAGTTCGACCGCCAACGGATGCGTCGGCGGCTCGTCGCGCCACTCGCCTCGGCAATGCCCGGGTGACTGAACTGGCTCGCAGTCCAGGTCTGGCGAGACAGTCACCCGCGCAGCAACACGGAGTCGTCTGAACCGCTGTCCTGAGCCCAAGCGCTGGAGGGCGACCTGCGGCGGCGGCGGTAGACCAGCCTCGTCAGCTGCTCACAGGTCGGGCCCTCCACGCACGCGAGCCTGCTGGTCGCTGGATCGACGCGGCCCCCAGGTCGCGACGGCGCTCGCGGGCGTTGGCCAGAGCGCGGGCGCAGCCTGATGCGAGGGTCCGATAGCCTGAACTTGCGCACAGGGCGATCGCGCCCCTTCTCCCGACGGCGGCCTGGGCGCTCCCAGTGGATAGGAGCACTGCGATGGCATCGGCGTGTGATTGGGCCCCTGGAATCCATGGGCGAGTCCGCCCGCACGTTGCGCCCGCGCGGCTTCCACGCGTAGCGCCCGAGCTCGGCAGCCACCTCACTCCGGATCTGACTCTCCGCGGCCCCAGGGGCCACCGCTGGAAAGGCCGCCGCAGCGACGTCGCATTCACGAACGTAGTTCGTCTCATGCGCGCGCCAAAAGCGGCAACGTAGATCCACGGGATTTGAGCAAGTCGTTCGGCTATCTTCCATGGCCAAGTTTGAACGTCGAAATGTCGCGGCCCTCGACGCGGGCGTTCCAGCGCCTGTTCGGGCACATGAGGTCGCCGATCTGCTCGCCGATATCCGGGGGGGCGGTGTCGAAACCCACGGCATCCCTCAAGATGCCACCATGTCGATCACGGAGTCCGAGCACGCACTGATCGACGACGACCCATCTCACGCCGGGTGCCACAAGCACGTCTGGCCACGGCAGTTCGCGGACCAGTCGAGACTGATCGGGCTGTTCGTTGATCAACTAGTTGTCTACCTCCAACTGTAGTCGCGCTGGTTGGCCGAAAAACGCCCGCGGGGGGCCGCGCCCTGGTAGGAGCCCAGCACGCGTCGTCGTTGAGCTTGCAGTCGCACGCCGCCCAACAACCGAATGGCCGGCACGAGGGGGCCACGACGGCCACTAGAGGTCGGCGCTGTCGCCTGCACCTCTCCACTGCACGTCGTTGGCCTTCGTCGTTGAGGCCACAACTGGTGACCACGTCGAACTTCTCACCAATCCTGAGGCGGCGCCAAACAGCAAGTTGGCCAGTCCGTGCCTCTCCGCCACAAATCTCGACGACGTCGACGCCGTGGTCGAGTGCAATGAGGTACATGAGCAGATGGTGATTGGCGTTGAACTCGATGTGCTGCGACTTAGTTTGAGCACTGGCCAGTCGGCGATCCAGCGCCAGGGCCGACGAACCCCGAAAACCACCACTTGGGCGAACCTGACATGAGGTTGCCTGGGAGTTCGCCCTCGTCGCACTCGTCGGCGCGACCCGGCTCGCCAATAGGGCGCGTGCCAAGAAGGTAAGGCGAAAGGCCCATGAGGTCTGAGCCGCCGTCGTCGCAGTGGTCCTCTACGACCTGCTTACGGGCAACAGGCACGTGGCCTTCCTCTATCTTCCACTTCTGACGCACGCGCTCTGCTGCGGGGTGGGGACCGGCAACATTGCTGCCAGATACCTACCCCGCGGCAACGGGGTCGGCGCTTTCAACATCATTGCCCTTAACCTCCCCTGTCGGACGACCCCCAGCGGCAGAGGGGCCATCTTGGATAATTTGCGCGGCGTCGCGGTTATCTGCATCCCCCACAAACCTCGCTCTCCAAGATGGCCCTGAACCCGAGAGCGCGCATTCGCTCTGGATAGCGCTTTTCTGCTTGGCGCGGTGGACGCGCTGCGCGGAGTGCTGGATGCGCTGCGCGGGGCCACGTTTGCCAGTCGCCATGGGACAGGAAGCAATGCTCGAGTCTGGCGCTTAAGCTGCTGCTGCGCCTCGCCAACGGCGCGCCCCCTCGGCGCGCCGCTGCTCGTCGGAACAAAACTGAAATAGGGTGCACGACGCAACACCTCGCGGCGCATCAGGGCGAGGTACAGCCATGGGCTCGTGATCTCCCAGTCGTTGACGTGCTCCTGCCAACTTGCTGCGTTCAGCCCCTACGGCTAATGGCGTGTGGCATGCTCGGCGCTTGCAGATGTAGAGCACGCGCGCATCGGTCATCTGCTTCACGGAATGATTCCAACGTGAACCGCGGAAGCCGAAAACCACGATCCCGGCATCGAGGACGCGGCGATCCTCGTCCACTCGTGTCGCACGTGATACACAGCATGCTGCAATTGGCGATGGGACACGTTGGATCCGATAACCGGCGGCGGAAATTGGCGTTGCGGATGACGTCGTAGCCCTGATCCTACAGTGAGTGCCTGCCTGTGAAGTGTCCCGTCCCCGCTCTTGGACCCAAGCGGGGCGTCCTGACCCAGCTACCCTCCGCCGCCGGGGCAGGTCGGCAGGGCCAGTCATGCGGGCCAGCCAAGCGATTCCCAATCAGGTGGTCTGTCTGCCCAGGGCAGTCGGCAACAGAATTGCCCATCTGGCCCTCGGAAATCGCGATGGCCACATCGTTCGGGAGGGTGTCGTGACTGAGGGAAGTCATGCTGGCGCACCCGAATCCACCTGGTCCACGAGACGATGTCGGTCGGCAGGGGGCGGCCACGACCTCGGCGTCGTCTCATCGCTCCGGGAGGAGACGCGCGGCGCGGCGGCCCCGCTCGACCACGTCGGCCCGCAGGGCGGCCCTGTATACCACGTCCTTGACCCCCCCGCGGTAGTCGGGGTCAAACGCGCCTCCAGCGACGCCAATGCCCCCGAGCGCGAGACCCGAGCGCGGGGCAATACGCATGCACGCGCCTTGCGGCGCCAGTGCAGCTACGCCAGCGGGCACCAGTTCCCGACACTAGATCGGGATACTGGCGTCGGAAGTGGCGCGCAGGTCGTAGCTGGCGGAGCCGGCGGCTTCCCGCGCAGGGGCTCTCGCATCCGGACTGAGAAATCGGATCTGTAGCGGGTTAGATTATCGTCCGTCAGCGTCGCGATGACCCGCGGCTGCGCACCGCCAGAAACGCGAGCTGCTTAGGCGGCAGGCCCCCCGGGCGCGGCTGGAGCTTGCCGGAACCGCCAACAAAAACGCAACGGCGCCCACTCGGAGCAGACCCCGGGCCAAAGCGCACTGCACCTGGGCCCCAAACGATCTCGTGGACGCCCAGCCCAGGGAAGCGAAGGCGCCCGCGGTCAACGCCTGTCTCCACCACCCCGTTGTTGGACTGCACGGATTACAATCCCAAAAGGGCAGGGAGAGCGTCGCCTGCGCCCTCCACGGCCGGAGCGCGCACGATGCGCTGACTGGTCATACCATCGCTTGAGGTTGCGGCGACGGGCAATGGATTTCCCCGCTCGCCACCTGCGACCCGTTCCCCGCTCCTGCCACGCATAATGAAGCAGATAACCTACCTCTCCCTTGAGAGTCGGAGCATCGCGCGCACGGCTCGCCGGGCCAAGTTCCAAGCGACTCGCATACCCGAGAGGCCGTTCCAGGCGCCGGCGTCGACGAAGACGCCTGACCAGCCGCCTGGAAGCAACGCGCTTGCCAGGTAGCACGGCGAGTCGCCTCGGGAGCTCGAGCCTGCGCCCGGCGAAGTCGGACACCACGAGCACAGGCTCGCAGGACGCCAGCCTGCACGGAGGCATGCGAAAGTCCGAGCGAGCGCCTCAGGGCGCTAGCGCATCCACCGCGGACACAGAACTGGAAGCACTGCCCGGGCACATCAGAAGATGTCGCCGCGGTGCCCCAGGTGCTGGAGCTGGCCGACGAGAAGGCGACGTGTCCCGCTGCGGCGGTGTCTCCTGCGGCGCGTCTCCTGCCGGCGCGTCACGGGTCGGCGCAATAAGCTGGATACACGATCTGCGCCAATGAAATGGAAGTCGGCAATGACGTCGGATGGCCCGCGGCACGCCAGGCAGTGGACCACGCGGGCGTCGGCGTTCTGCGCGAGCTGCAGACGGCACGCGCGGCGCAAGGTGCGTCGGCACTACAATCGCACAACCCTCTCGCCGTGGACAAGGGCCGAGACAGACGGGACACGCCCGATTGCGTCGTTGAAAAACAGCAACCGTGGGAGGTGTAGCTGGCGCTGCGGCCGGCGCCCGAGGAGGGTGATTCGGCGCCCCTGCCCAACTCCGCGCGGCTTCGCGCCGCTGGTCTGCCTGCCGTCGCAGTAGCTCCAGCGCTAGCCGCGCGCTGCGGCTCGTCGAGGCGCCGTCGCTGGGCGAGAGTGGAACACGCGCCGCGCTCGGACCTATTGCCGCTGGATACCCATGTCCGGCGGCTGGCAAGCCACGCGCCCATTCCCTCGGCGGTTGGTTCGCGCCCACTGGCCTGTCTGCGTCGAACAGGGCCAAGCCAGAGCATGTGTCAGGGCACTGGTGGCCACGTGGGCGCCGGCTCTGGCCGCGGCGGCCAAAAGGAGCTCGATCCGCTCGGCGCGCCCACGCCGAGCGAGGCCGCCGACGGCATGAAGGCCCGGTTTGGCAGGTGCGCATTGGCTGCAGGTAGCGCGGGAGCTGCGGCCCGCGCGCGGAGACCACCTTGCAAGTCGCGCCCCCGCGCCTGTCCCAGAAGGGGGTGCACCGCCAACTCGCGCCCTCTGCGGCGGCGCCAACGGCGCTGCTGGAGCTGTCGGCGCAGCGGGCGCGGCTGGCGCCGGCCGCCCGGCCGCTGCCGCGCGGACCCCGGCGGCGGAGCAGAGGCTTGCGCCCGGCCCATGAGATCGCCCATCTCCCGTCGTAGTCGTCGCAGCTCGGCGTCGCAGGGGCCGGGCGATGACGACGAAGACGCTGCGCCCGCCCAACGCGACCACTGACTGCAGCCATCCTGTTGCCAAGAACCGTCGGACGTCGAATTCAGCGCAGAAGCCGCCGGCGCTGGCCGCGGCGACGCCGGCGCTGGCGCGGGCCGCCCGCGGTTCCAGGGATCGGCAATCTGCGCGGGGTCACTCGCGCCAGAGCCCGCAGACAGAGTCTGCCCATGGCTGGCGGCGTCCCAGATCATCGCAACCGCGCGCGCAGTCGTCGGGGGCCACTGCTCAGCTTGGCTCGGCGGCCCTTGCTGCCCCAGGGTTGACAACGGCGCGGACGCAGGCGGCACTTGGGCGCAGGCGCCGAGGGAGGGGGCGCGCCCTCGGCGACGGCGCAGGGGGCAGTCGCGCACGAGGCGCCCCTCGGAATCACACTCGCGATATTTGAGACGCGCCCCGTCAGGGCCTATTGGGGCTGCCTTGACGGCACGAACCCACACTGCTGGCCCTGACCCCCTTTTTCCATTCACCTCTGCCCCCCCCCCGAAGCCCGCGAAGTCTCTCGGAGGTCATTTTCGGACAGGTCGGCCAGGACAGATCGGCGGCCCTTGCCGCGGCCCGCGCCCTTCCCCACCAACGACCCCCCGGGCGCGGCGCGCGGGCCCGCGCTGGTTGAAGCGCCCGTCGCCATCATACTTCGGCGCGCTGGCATGCCCGAAACAGATGCGCGCCGCGCTGTTCCACGGCAACGCGACGTAGCTCGGGGTCGCGGGCAGCTATCTCTCCTTCGCCGAATGAGCTGATTGCGTCGGCGTCGGTGCCCGCGTCGATGGCAGCCGCCGGGCACGCCTCCTGCGCCGGCGGCGCTGGCTGGCGCAGGTGGGCTCGGCGCCCCCAGCGCCGATGGACCCTGGCCGCCCCAGTTCCATCCGGCCGCGGCGCAATAGAACACTACGAGTCTGGTCTTGCGCGGGCGCAACCGTGAGAACAGTTCGCCGTCGGGCTGAGCGAACCGCCGAGGCGAGATTGCCAGGCCACCCCATCGACCATATCCCCAAAACGTCGCAGTTGACCCGTCACACGCGCGAGCCGTGCTGCGTCGGTTGGGCGGGCCACGTTGATGCGCTACAAGACCATGGTCAGCCGCGCACGTGACGCTCCCACCGCGCGCAGGACGAGGAAGCTGAGACCCTCGCAGCCGATCACGAGTTGATCATCTTGCTGGGCGCGGTTACGCAGGATGCCAAAACGCGCGCGGAAATTATTATGCGCCCCTGTGGCAGTCGCTTGAAGTTCACGCGCGCCGAGACTGCTCAGGAGCACCCCTCCTCGCCCAGCTGGCCTCAGCGTTCGGCCAAAATGTGCGTCGGGAAGGTCACCGTGGCACAGCGTTGCCGTTTATGGCACCTCCCTGCACAAGGACAGCCGGCGGCCACCCACGAATTCTCGGGCCACGCTGGACGAGATGAGACATCGGCCACCCGGCCACGCTGGTGAGACGAGATGAGACGTCCTAGTTTGCCACTGACCAGATCATCACCTTCCGCGCCCAGCGTTGGAAAGGAACCCGAGATTGCCACTCGGGCCCCCAGGCGCTCGCATGCCGCCGTCGCCGCCTCCAGGGCCCACGCAGGTTAGGCAGCTGGACAAGGCGAGCACGCCAACTCCGATGGCCTTCCATCCGGAACGGAGGTCCCTCCAGAAGTCGAGGAGGCGCTGGAAGTCGGGGGCCCACCGTCGGCGTTGCTCTGACAATGAGCCTCGGACCCGTCGTGGGCCCCTGCCCCGAACGCGTTCCCCTTCGTCAGCGCATTGGGCACTGGCCCTTGTCGCGTCGTTGTGGATGTCACAGCACTCCGGACATCCCACAACTGACGCGCGGGCATGCCCCTCATGCGTCGCGTCGCTGCGACGTTCGCCACACACGAAGCATTCCGAAAGATAACTTCGTAAATGACCCTTGCGCGTCGCGTCGCCACTGTCCTGAATACCGCCAACTGCACGATAGTCCAGAGGAATGCGCATCGAAATCTCGCCCTGCCGATCTGCGGGAAACGGGCGGGTGCGACGATGTGTCATATGCCAGGCGAACGAAGACAGATAGACCCAAACCTGTTTCACTGCCCCTTGGAATGCCAACATAATCGGCAGACGCTCCACGGACTCCCCATTTTTATCAGAATTCTCCTCCACCTGTACTTCCAGAGGGGGGCCCGCAACATACTTGCGAGCAGCTTGGGACAATGCGGCTCCGAGAGCGTGTCCAACATAGTTGGAAAGCGTCCCAGGAGAGAAGCAGGCACCGGCACCAGGTGGGCGCCGCGCTCCTCGAAGTTCTTGGTGACGTGCTTGTTTTGGTCGATGTCCACGTCGTTTTTCGTTTTAGCGAGCGCGAGGTGGATGAACACGGAAAGCAAGAAGAGCACTTTTGCTGAACACGTCGACAGTGGTGGGGCGCAAGCCGAAGAGCAGAGGACTGGCGGAGGTGCCGCGTGGGCCATGGCAGCAACAGGTAGCGGAACGGAGCTGGAGACGCGCTACCACGATGAAAACGAGGGTTAGGAAACCGGATGCTTTGGTCCGCAACAACCGTGAATACGGGCAATACGCGTCTAACACGGGCACGGAGACTGGCCAGTTTCCGCGCCTGGACCGAAACGGCAACGGGAAAATGCAGAACATTGTACACGGCAAAACAGGCAGGAGCTCGAAGTGAGCTACCGTTCGAGTGGGGGTAGAGGGAGGACGGGGGATGAGGATGAACGGGGGAGGAGCGGACGCGGGGAGGAAGAGGCGAGGAGGGAGGATGAGCGGAAGAGGAGGCGGAGGGGTGGATGAGGAAAGGGTTCCCATTGCGACAGGTCGCGGCGAAGGCGTCTGCCCTGCTTCGGGCTCTGGAGGCAGTCGCTGGGCCCCGCGGCCCCTTGTCGCCACGCCCGCAAGCTTCTGGGATAGGGCGTCCCGTAGCGGGCCTCACATGAAAAAAAATCAACCAGAAACGGCGCGACGGAAACACTTAAGATCTTTCCGCGGCGTTTCCCTGTCCTCCCTACTCACTCCTCCCTACTGCGGGGAGGCTCCCGAGAGACGATGTCGCACAGGGGTTCCTGCACCTTCTTCATCCAGAGCTTCAACGGTGTGTCTCCTGGGCAACTTGGGAGGATCGGTAGGCAGAGGAGCCTCCCTTCGAGCTCGCGCCAACCATCCCCCCAGCCTTCCCAACCGTCATCCTCCTACTCCCCGTTCACCTCCTGTCCAGTTTGTCATCCTGCAAGCGATCCTACCTTTTCATGCCTCCTCCCCTCCTCCAACACCGCTACCACCAGTACCACTACCACGACGGCTTCGACACCTGGCGCCGCTAACGCCACTAATCACTGCGAACCTACTACTACTGCTACCACCGCCACCTCCACGAGCACCACCACCACCAGCACCACCTACACCACCTACTACTACTACTACTACTACTACTACTACTACTACTACTACTACTACTACTACTACTACTACTACTACTACTACTACTACTACTACTACTACACTACTACTACTACTACTACTACTACTACTACTACTACTACTACTACTACTACTACTACTACTACTACTACTACTACTACTACTACTACTACTACTACTACTACTACTACTACTACTACTACTGCTACCTACTACTACTACTACTACTACTACTACTACTACTACTACTACTACTACTACGACTACGACTACTACTACTACTACTACTACTACTACTACTACTACTACTACTACTACTACTACTACTACTACTACTACTACTACTACTACTACTACTACTACTACTACTACTACTACTACTACTACTACTACTACTAATACTACTAATACTACTACTACTACTACTACTACTAC